CCAGAGTGAAGATGGCATATGCCTTATTGCAAATGTATTAGCAAGGAAAAGTTTTGGGGTCACCTTTATTTGGAGACATTTCTCTTAAGCTGGTTTGTGTATTTGCTATCTATAGCAGAGATATAACAGCATGTGTAGGTCTAATTGAAAATGTATTTCCAAAATAGGTCATTCTAAATGAGAGTATTTTTGCTGGCTTTTCTAGGGAAACAGCTGTAATTACTCCATTGTGATCTTCTTTGCTCTTTTACATTTCTTTTTATTTTTTTCTTTCTTTCTTTTTTTTTTTTTTTTTTTTTTTTTTTTAGACAGAGTCTCACTCTGTCACCCGGGCTGGAGTGCAGTGACACAATCTCAGCTCACTGCAACCTCCACCTCCTGGGTTCAAGTGATTCTCCTGCCTTAGCCTCCTGAGTAGCTGGGATTACAGGTATATGCCTCCACACCTGGCTAATTTTTTTTTATTTCTAGTAGCGATGGTATCTCGCCATCTTGGCCAGGCTGTTCTGGAACTCCTGACCTCAGGTGATCCACCCACCTCAGCCTTTAAAAGTGCTGGAATTATAGGCATGAGCCACCATACCTGGCCTCTACTGTGATTTTCTTTACTCTTTTCCTGGTGTTTAAAGTGGAAAAAACCCAAATGATTTTGTTTTCTCTTATACTCATGCTCCAGTAACTTGTAAAATTTATTATGCATTTTAATAGGGCTGAGATTAAAATTTTGGGAGTAGAATGTTAGGAATGAGATAAGCTTTATAAAAACAAAGACCTCAAACTAAGGAGATGCAAGTTCCTAGTTAATCTAAATGAGATTTCTATTTAAAGTACTTCAGTACAATATCATAATGCATGTGGCCAGCTTACTGGAAAGGTGTTGGTGTGGCTGTTTCCATTAAGTCTTATCTTAAATGTTTCATTATTTTGTACACAATGGCCGTGTGGTGCCCAAGGTCCCTCCTCAAATCCTTATCTCATTGATGATCAATATTTAGGTTTTCTTTTGTGCTTACAAATTGCTGTTTTGATAGACACTCATTTTAAATTATTTTACCTGATTTTACTCTTAAAGAGAAGGACAAAGTGTAAAGGGAAAATACGAAGTTGAATCTTTTTAAACCTGGATCGTATCTCTCCACACTGTAAGAATAAAACACATGAGCCAAATCAATCTTTTTGGAGTTGTACATTCAAGAAGCACAAGTAACCCAGCAGTCTGCAGTGTTGAAATCCCTCAAGTGTCATCAGGCTTTTGGGGTAGTATCATATTTTGTTAATTAGGCATTTATACTGAAAAGGATGTTCCAGGGCAGAGCAGGTCCTTTTTGACTGTATACATGAAAGAACGTGGCTACAGCCATCATTTGTCTGAATAGTGGCTGCACCTATAATGTGTGATGTTCATGCTTGTGATCCTGCCTCTCTGCTGTCAGCAGGAAAGCTTGGATAAAGGGGACCTTTCTGTAGTTGCTGCATGTCAGGCAGGTTCTTCCTATTGCTATAGTTCACAGAAGGCCCATGGCCTCAAGGAGGTAAAGTTGGGTGAAAGAAATATCACTGGATGGAGAATCAGGAACTTTGATCTCTGGTTTGAGATGGGCCAATAACTTGCTGTCTAACCTATGCAATCCACTTACCCCCTCTGAGCCTGGTTTCCTTCTCTGAAAAATGAGAGGACCTGGACTTGGGAAGAAGAGGGCTCTAAAATTACTAGGTTGTGAATAAGATATCCTAACATGTGTCCTAACATTTATTTATCAAACTCTTTTGTAACACCTATGTTTGCCCTGCACTATTCTAAGTCTTTAACAAAGATGAAGCCATTTCATCCTCAGATGACACTTTGAGAAGGTACTATTACCATCTCCATTTTATAGATGCAGGAATGCATGACGAGAGGTAGAGCTGGGATTCAGACTCAGGCAGCATGCCCTCAACCCCATGCTTTGAAATATTGGTATGTGTTAGCCTCTGACTCATCTAGAGCACATCCTTTTTCTGGTGGGCTTCATAGAGGAGCATTAAAATTATTGTGTTGTAGAGGAATCATGACTGCATAAAAAAAGGACATTCCGGAGATCTGGCTCTTCGGCGATTGAGAACAGTGGAGTCTGTTTTGTGAGCTTCATGTTGAAAATCTTTACAAAGCATATATTTTATTCTTCTCAGAGTTCTTGGGGGAAAAAAGGCATACAGAGACATAGGGAAAGAACAATACATGGGGCTTTGGCTGCAAGTAGAGCATGAGAGTACTTGTATCTGGAATCCTTAGATGTCTGTCTGATTACTGGTTTTGCTTATGTATAAATACAAGTTGCTGTGCTAAGCAGAAATTAATTGTAATAGATTCATTTAATCATAATACAGCAAAGTTTAACTTGTTAGAGCTTCAAACTTGCAGATGAAGCTTTCCCTGGGGCAGCCAGTCTGATTGTAGTTGCTGTAGCTGACCTACTTACCAGCTTTTTCAAAAGGTGGCTTAAATGCCTCCCAGGGTACAGGAATACACAGAAAACCTAACAGGGGTCACTTTCCATAACCCATGATTCATTTTTAGTGCATTTGGGGGCCATACATCATATGAGGTAATCTTGTTCATACTTGCAGTTTTCACTTAGGCATGAGTCATAAGACTAATGCTTAATAACTCAAGTAAGAATTCTTAATCTTGGGATGACTAGAAGATTTCAAATCCGGAGGTATTTTTTCTGATAGAGTTTGGTTAGGTATAGATGAGCAAGAGAGCCTACCGTCTCTTTTCAGGACTTCTGCCCTGGTTGGTAACTCAGAAGTCGTGTCTTTTCTTGGGCATTTGACCTGTTTTCCTTCTGGTTGGGTTACTGGTGGAGATGGAAGGAAATGATACTGGCTTTTAATGCGAATCATATCTCTTCACAAAAGTGAGTCAAGAGTTTAAAGCTGTGTTAGAACTGTCGGCTTCTTGGTTTGTAGAAGTCACTTGATGACTGGTAGAAAGTAAGGTGGTGGGGAAATGACTATATTTTATGTAAACTCGTAAGGCTGAACCTCAGGTTGACAGAGTGAAATGCTGCTCTCTCAATTGGCAAACTCTCAACGGCACTGGGGGCTGAGGAGTCCCATTGAAAATGCATTCAGGAGGCTGAAATCAACCCCAGGATTGAAACCAAAGTGGCCTTTCTGAAAGGTCTTGGAAACCAATCGAGATCAACCCGCTACGGTTGATGCAAGTGAGTGAGAGTAAAGAAAGTGAAAAGTTGAGAGCTGCAACAAACTCCTCCTTTCCTTTCCCGGAATTCATATTTCCTTGTGGTTCCCCAAGCCTAATCACATCATCTATTTTTTTCCTCTTTCATTTTTCTTTTTTTTTTTTTTTGCTTTTTTGCTTTTTTTATTCCTCCCTTTGTCTTCCTTCTTTCCCCTATTTCTTTCTTTCTCACTGTTTCCTGCTCTCCCTATTATTCTTCCATTCTCTTCTATCTAAAATTCTTCAGCTTTCACCTAAAACTCAGGCTAGATTTGTAACTAGAGTTTCTGGTGGACATGTTTAGAGCAGGGGTTCTATACATAACCAGATAGATGCCTGTGACTTCTTAAGGTTTCTCTGTGTTTGCTGTGCCTTTGAGAGACCTTTCATTCTTGGTTCATATACTATGGCCTATCCAAGAATGCTTTATTCTACTTTAAAGTTTTTATCCAAAACCAGAATATTTATGAGAATCAGTAGAGATCAGAAAAGTGAGGCAAAGATTTGGAGAGGATTCTAATTAACCTCCTTTTGCCTCATTACATTTTTATGAAACAAATCAGGATCACGTAATCTTTTGGTTCAAAAATTACAAGGTTGGCTTTTCACTGAAGAGCGCCGTTATCTTGGTTCCTTGAATTCTCTCTTAATGGCCCCATCACCCAAATCTTGCCCTCTTTTCATTATGACCTTCTGTTTTATTTAATAGCTATTTGAGCCTAATTAAAAATTGTATTTTTTCTTCTCATTTCACATCATGGCCTTGGTGAATGTGTTTTATTGTGTCAAATGCTAGCCAGTCTCAGACCAAACATGGCATGCTATTTGAAGTTTTCATTATGAATGAAGATCAGATGTGGATCTGGGGAAAGAAATCCTGACGGGATACTGACTGACTGCCTCTAGAAGTGACAGCAGCAGAATTTTGCAACTGGGATTCATCAGTCACTTCTTACCATAATGCAGAGGTCTAAAGCCAGAGCAGTCCATCCTTCTCTATCCTTATCTGCACATTCATCATCCCCATCTTCAATCCAACCACTGAAGAGTTAGTTCACTCTTACATGTTCATCCTTAGTACACATGAGGTCTCTCCTCTGTGTTTTCCACATCACCCCAAAACTCAGTTTCTCCTTTTGCTGGATTGTCTGTCCAGTGCAATAGCTTCATATCCTGTCTTAGCTTTCTAAAGTACTTTGTAACTTGCAATTCAATGGTACGGAGCTGTTTTCTCCGATAGGAACAGCTGAAGAGGTGAAATGAAATTAACACACAAAAACCTCAACAGTATCAAGTGATGATAGGTTTCTGTATGTATTCCTTCTAAAAGATCCAATATATGGGAGTCGAGGCGGCTCTGGCCAGTTGTCCTGGTGCTTGAGGAGGCAAGGCTATGAGTTCAAGGCCAACCTGAGCAACATAACAAGTTCTCATTGATTAACAACAACAACAAAAAAGATCCAATATGAAGGAGGAAAGAGCAGGCTGTGGTTGTTCTTCTGAGAAAGGCAAAGAGATACACCATATGTATATAGGTTGAAATAATAAATCTGTTGAGATTAACCATGCAGGGTTTCTTCTCATCAGCCTGTTGCTGTTTTTAAATATCATTAAATGGCCGCATTGCACATGAGACACAGGAAGGTAAGAGTAAGAGGGCAGACAGCAGGCTCACTGCCCCTTCCCAACCTTGACAAGTGTCCTTTAAATGACCTTGATGCAGTTACTACTGTTGTTGTCCTCGCTGATGAATCTTTTTTGCTTTTACTTTCAGCTCGAGGATCTGCTTCACAAGTTACAGTTCGTCCTGACATACGTGGCTCCTTGGCAGATGGCTTGGGGTTCTTCGTTTCACGTGTTTGCTCAGCTCTTTGCCATTCCTCGTATCCTTTCTGCTTCTATTTTCACCCTCAGGCTGAGATTCACATTTTACTGAAGCAAGCTTTTCATTGACCCCTGGTAATAAAAAGATTTTAAAGTCTTTAAGATTACATTTTAATGGGGACATGAAGAGGCACTTTGGATCCCTTTAGGCCACTTAGCCTTAAAAGATGTTTCTTAATTTTGAACTCTTCCTGCTTCTTCATGCATATTCAGGAGTTACTTTTATTTTTCCTGGTCCTTCCATTTCCCATGCCCAGATCTTCATTAAGATATCCTGTCTTTTAAATGAAAAGTAACTGCTTAAATGACTGAGTCACCTTGTGCAAAATAGTGCAAATAAATTTGCTGTTATTAAACATTGTGGATAGGGTTCATGCATTCAGTACATTTTTATAAAGTGTATATGATTTTATACTATGGTTATCATATTGCACTCTAGTAATATTCAGAAACTCAAGATTAGGTACAAACAGCATTTGGAAGATCATAATTTAAAACATTAAATTATGATTTTTTAGTTGCAATTAGCCACGAAGCCTTGGTTTTCATGTGTGTTTTATAGTGTTTTCATAATAGTTTGAATTTATTTCATAACAAATTTTGAGATTCTCCTAAAAATCACTTTGACATTGATAGCTAAGTTTTATATATGTACACATGTGAGTAAGGGAAGTGGAGAGAGAAATTGCATTAAAAATGCTCTTGAAGAAAGAGATTAATTAAAATTTGACTTAGGCCTAAAATAATGTCCTTAAAGGTTCTCCTTCTCACTGAATTTAGAGTTTTTAAACCTGTGTGTTTCCTAGGAAACAGGAACCACTTGCCTCAGAATCCCTGGAGGAACCAATTAACTAAGTAGATTCCTGAGCCCAGCTCATACTTTTTAAATCAAATTTCATGGGGCGGGATCCTGGAATCTGTCTTTTCACAAGCTTCCTTGGTGATTCTTATGCCATCAATGTATGTGAACCAGGGTTTTAAACTGGCAGTTCATCAGGGCTGCTGTTAACCTAACTTGGACCACTCAGAGCTTTCTTCCTTGTGAAATTTACATAAGACTCTTTAAGACAATTCTTAAGGCATCTCTAGGACCTTAACTTGTAAAGGAATGAAAACATACTTGGGATAATCCTTGAGTGATAATATTTTTAAAAATGATTTCTTCCAGGCTCCTAACATTTTTTTTCAAATGTTAAGCATAAGAAGAGTGGTTCTCACAATACACATTGTTCTGTGTTCCTATTCTTAGGCCTGCATTGATACTGCTAAAGTGTTTCAAGGTCATTTGGCAGAACAAGCTAAGAAAAAATTATATATATATATTTGCAAAGCCTGAGCTCGGGCACCACCCTTTCCCTTTAGCGGCAGTCATTTTCTGTAATGCCAGTAATGTCAGTTTTCCTAAACAGAGTCTTTTAAAACAAAAACAGCAAGGTTAAATATTGAGTTGATTTTTAGTCTCTTTCTGATGTGTTTCTAAAGTTTCCTGTCTAGAATTTAAAACATGTTTATTAAATGAAAATGATTAGATTAATGCAAATTTGTTGTTGAGGACTGGCACCAAGCATTTAAAAATTGAAGTGATGATTCCTGATGTCATAACTGTGGACTTCCTTGTTATTGTTTATGCCTTGTTAGGTGAGTTCAATAACACTAATTATTTCTTGGAGTTCCACAGCTGCATTAAGACTGTTCTGGGAGCCACAATTTTCAAATACTTGCCTTATATTCGTGTTGAGGGTTCACACATGAGCACGTGGTATTTAGCACTTAATAAGTTCTAGAAGAATAAAAACAGCATTAGATTTATCTCAGCTTGTGCACAGTGAGCATTAAATTTAAATATTTCACGATGTATAGATGGATTGTCATACAAAATGGAAACTTTCTAGATGTAGATTTTATTGGGCATTTGGTGGTTCCATTTTAGAACACACAGTGGATCCCCTTGTTTTGTTCCTAAACCTGGCCTTGTTAGTGACACCCACTTCCTCCCCTTCTGCTCAGATACAGAGCCTTCAAATTGACTTCCCTGGAGGCTGGCCACTGACAGGGTCTTTACCCTCTCCTCCTTAACCATGGACACCCCTCCTCCTTCAGCAGTTGAAAAGGTAGATATTTGCTCCTTGGAGTCCAACATCATGCTGTTCAGAATACAATGAAATAAATAGTTGAAAAACTGGATATACATGCCACCCAGACAAAGCTATTAAGTTATTAAGTGTCAGCCCTGGATCTTGACTAATTTCAAAACGTTAATTATTTTATCACTCTATTAAGAAGTTGTGGGCTCCATCTCAGCATTGAAAAAAGGCTAATTTGCTCTGTTTTGGAATTGAATTAGCTTTCAGGCCAGCGTCAGGGCACTGTTTGATAAATGGCTTTTTCCAGTACTAGCATGTTTTCTCTCTCCGTAGCCTCAGTTAGCTTCTGAGCTTGTAACCTCCAGGGAAAATTGAGGATATTCACCCTTATAATATGTGTAGAGACCATGCAAGACCATTGTCATCTAATAATTAGACAGACTTAGCCAGATTCTTTCTAGTAAACCCAGAGATTGGGAGAGCTGCTTTCTATTTGGTGCATCCTTTTCAGCTTCTAATGATTTTTAAAAATCTTTTAATAACTGATGCTTTCATTTTAAGTGTGCTTTTAGAGTGATCATCTGTCCCTTAGGTTAAGCCCCTAGCTATTTCTCTTAGAAAGAAAGAAAGAGCGCTTTATGTGCCTGCTCCTCTTAGGAGCTCTTCTTTCTTGGCACTGCCTTGCCAGTGGTAGTGACAGCCTTTCATAGTTGCCCAGAGTGTGCTGTAATTCTTTATTGATATTTCTCCAAAAAAAAGATCCTCTCTATTCACTGCCACCCTCCCTCTAACCTGTTAAACGTCATTTCCTTTCCTACCACACTGAACTTTATTTTTAGCCTAGCGCTAGTTCCCTCACTTCTTAAATTTTAGATAATTGCTTCTGGCATTTTTTTAATGTACAATGTAATCTCTGGGGAAATCTTAGAATCAAAAACACAAGCCACATCATCCCCGCTTTTAATATGTGTAGAGACCATGCAGGACCACTGTCTTATAATTAGACAGACTTAGCCAGATGATCACATATTAGCACATCTGCCTGGCCCTGGCTCCACTTGATTTTGTCCTGGTTTCCCTGCAAGCTCCATCACACCCTCTGTCCCCTGATGTAGGGACTTCTCCCTCTTCCTTTCTTCTCAACACAGCTCCTCAGAAAACTCCACCTCTGACCCGACTCTGCTTTCTAGTATTTTTTTCAATACCTTCCCTCAGTGATACATTCGTACAATTCCCTTTTCTTCAGTGACAAGGAGCATAATAGCTAATTTGTTGTGTTTTGTGGCAGAAGTATTTAGGTATTTTCAGCTTTCAGAAGAGGAAACTGGTGGGTGATAATAGATACCACAGTAGCATATTGTTCTGTAGTTCTCCATTTGAACCTAGGTCAAAATAAAAAGAATTGGATTTAACTTGCAGCACAATAGAGAAATAGAGATCTTTTTGATACCTAAACAATTCAACATTGGAATGGATTATTAATGGAGGATGTGACATTTCACTCCTGAAAATGCTTGAGAGTAAATAGAAAGTTTAAAAAACACTCACTCTTGAAGAAAAAAAAAAACGTGGTTTCTTTCTTTTTTTGGTTGTTTTTTTGTTTTTCGAGACAAGGTCTCACTCTGTTGCCCAGGCTAGAGTGCAGTGGTGCAATTCTAGCTCTCACCTCAGCCTCCCATGTGGCTGGGACTACAAGTGTGCACCACCATGCCTGTGCACCTAATTTTTTTTTATCTGATTTTAAATCTGTGAAAATGTGGACAGCACAAGACTCACTTCCTTTTTTATATCTCACAGATAAATGGTGCTACTAGGGAATCCCTGCTTCCACCCCCACCCCTTTATCACATAACTTGTTTAAAGTTACGTTAAACCACTTAGAAGTCCAAGTTACTTCTATATTCTTGAAAATGAAATGCAGAGTCTTCCTATCTATGCCAAACATTTCTTTTTCACTCTCTGCCAGAACTTTTTGGACATGAATTACAGAAATAAAACTTCCATTAGTGCAGCAGTAAGAGAGATACAGTTGTCACTAGCTTCCCAGCAGGAAGATCAGCGCTATTGGAGGTCAGATCAGATCTACAGTAGAATGATCCAAGTTCTAATACCCTCGGACCAGGAAGGATATGCATATTATAGGACCTGGGCAGTCCAGCTCTCCACTGACTTCTGCTACCCCCATGGATTCTGGCCAGCAGTTCTCTCTTGTGCTCCAACCACAGGCCCCACAGCACCTCCGCGCCACAATGATGGTGAGTGATTGGCAACAGGGAGTCTCCAATGATGGAGTGAGACCTGGAGGGCCCAGCTTGCTCAGAGAACTGTTGTTTCTGGCTCCTCCCCACTAATCACCAAAGACTTATTGGGCTTAAACCAAAAGCAGCAGACATACTAAGTTTAATATTGACCAGTTACCTCTTTGATCAAGCAAGGTATTTGAAACTGGTGAATACCAGTACGTCAGAAACTTATATAAGGATGCCTAAAGAAGGAACTTGGCCCACAAAACACTTGCTTCATGTGCATGTGGTTTTTGCTTAAAAACTAGATATGACTTGAATTGAGCCAATGGTGTTCAATATACGACATCTGTTTGTCTGTGTATCCATCTATTTAGATGTGTATCCTATCTATCTAGATAAATAGATGGATAGATGTTTCAAACAGAGGGAAAACATGATTTGAGAAAGAGATACTATCTTCCCAAATGATGCTATTATTTATTTTCAAAATGTATCATCTAATTTTAATTATTTACAAAGCTACTTGATACTGTAGTAAATGTACTCCAGTGTGTTCTGTTCAGCTAATAATCTTAGTAAAAAGAAACTGTTCTCTTCAGTCCTTAGATATTAAATCTTTGCCATGAATCAGACTAAGACCACTGAGATTTTTGTGAGACTCATTTGGTTTACATGGTGGTGAAATGAGACCTAGCAGGGTACTACCGAAAGTTTTATATTTATAAATGTATACATAGAGAGATTAAGTGTGTATCCTTTGTTCTTTCTTTGGTGGAAAAAAATGGCTTTAGTGAAAACTCATCAAAATGTGATATATTTTAAAAATATAGAAATAATGTATATATATATTTTTTTGCCTTAACTCAGCATTCTCAGATTCTGCCATACTTTTCTTCCAGACGGTCGCCACATCCATCTTTTCTACCCCACTGAGTCCATTTCTTGGGAGTGTCATTTTCATCACATCCTATGTCAGGCCAGTGAAATTCTGGGAGAAAAACTACAAGTAAGACCCTAAAATCAGTGCTTAATTGCTTTTCTCCAGTTTGTGCTTCAGAAGCCTCCTCTGCCTTCCTCTGTTAGAAGGTCCCTGGGTCCAGCCCTTCCTGTGCTGTGGGGCCAGTCCAAACCTGTCTCTCTTGATGACTTCCTCAGCTCATTGACTCAGCTCTTGGGTCTCAGAGCTCTGGAAAGAACATGACTGATTTCAAATTAGCCAACGAATATTTGTCCAGGTATCACCAGTTGTGAAGGAAAATGAGTTATCACTGCCGATTTTTAGTAGGTGACCTCGGGAAAGGCTGTTTAACAAGCCATTGTTAATGTCCTTTGATATGCCAAGATGGCCCCTGGATGGCACATGTTTTTCCCCTTCGGGGAGCATTCTAAATATATAGTCCTGTACAAGTGTGCAGTTATCACAGCTCTATGGAAAAGAGATCACCAATTTCTGAGTGCCAGAAAACTTGTGGCATAAAAGTGAAGATGATTTCTTCACTTTTTCTTCTCTGTTTGGACCTGTCATAAATTCCTTAAGCAATTGGTGATTGATGAAGTAGGAGTGTTATTCTTAAGGGTAGGTGAGAAGAGAGAAGTGATAGTTCACCAAGTGATTTTAAAGATTTCTTAGTGATTTGTCGGGAAAGGTCTTGAGAATAGCTAGCAGGGAAGGAAAGCGTGTGTCCCCGGAGGTCTTCAGCTAGCACAGAGACCTTTGGATTGCTCCATGTGTTGGAGTGGGTCTTCCATTTCAGTCTCCTCTGCCCTAATTTATTAGCCAGACTTGTGCCATTTAATACTTTTTTTTTTTTTTTTTGAGATGGAGTCTCACTCTGTCTCCCAGGGTGGAGTGCACTGGCATAATCTTGGCTCCCTGCTACCTCTGCCTCTGGGTGAAGCAATTCTCCTGCCTCAGCCTCTCAAGCAGCTGAGATCACAGGCGCCTGCCACCATGCCCAGCTAATTTTTGTATTTTTAGTAGAGACGAGTTTTCACCATCTTGGCAAGGCTGGTCTTGAACTCCTGATCCACCCGCCTCAGCCTCCCACAGTGTTGGGATTACAGGCATTCTATTTATTCCTCTTAAATTCTAATGCTTTTTCCATAATTTGTTTACATTTTGCAGAAAGCTAGCATTTTACAACGTGTGATTTATGTCTCAAAGTGGCCATCGTTAAGTTAGAACTGTGGTTTCATGTTTCTCCCGAGAGATGGTTTGTAAAATGTGCATCCTTCTGGTACAGGTGGTTTGGCTTAGGGATTAGAACACGGCCTGCCTAAGTTCACACACCTCATCTCTCCCACTTAACAATGATCCTTTCAGGTCTCCTTTTCCTCATTTGTAAAATGGAAGTGAAATAATAGGACCTACTTCATAGATTTGCTGTGAGGAGAAAATGAATTAACATACATAAAACACCAAGAACAGGGGCTGACGCAAAGTAAGCACCACGTCAGCCTGGGCTAGAATGATTTTTCTCTGACTGTTCTGCAGAGAAGTTCCCGTCCCAGCTTGATCCATGCTAGTAGGTGTTTACCATGACTCAGGGGTATCTTCTTCAGACAATCTCATGTTTAGGGGTACCCTGGTGAAAACTAACCAAACCAGTGAGCCCTACTTTGGGTCAGTGAGAAGTGGAAGGAGGTCCCTCAGGTTTCTGGCAGATTTCTTGTCTTCTAAGAGAGGTAGATTTTTGCAATAAAAGTAAAGTCGTCTTGAAATTCACACACCACAAGGCTGCCCATTTGCATTGGTCTAAAGAGACATGCATATTTACAGAGCCAGAGAGTACAAGAAAATGATGACAGTTGGCTTCTCTTTAAGCTTTTTTAGGAGAAAAGAATTTGGGGGACCTTTTTTGGAGCTCTGAAAGTCACACTTCTGGAAAGTGCAAATACTTGTAAATAAGAGGAGGGGCATTTTCTCATGCTTTCATCTAAACAGGGAAGGAAAGTGCAGCATATTTAAACTTGGTCCTCAGTACAAAAGGTTTCTTTTTGTCTCCTCAGAGAGGAAATCAGTCTTTCTGGCATGGGAAGATTCAATAGAAGTAAAACACCTCTCAGTTGAATCGGAAAGGATTTTAAGTGTCTGGGTGGAAAGGGGAATCTTTGTGTGGAGATTACCCTGGAGGGAGCATTCTAATACCTGCACTAAAGGAGTTACGTGTTTTGTTATTTAATCTCCACACTTCCAAAATTCAGCCATCCTTTTAGGGTGTTATGTTTGGGTCTGAATTGTCAGTTTATGTGGGTTGCTTAAACATATGGGCTTCTAGAGAAAGATTTATGTTTATTCAGTCCCACAAAGAACTGATTCTGCTGTGTTTGTTCTTTTCATCAGTAAATAACATAGATATTAGCACGGGGTTCCCTGTATGTGTATATGGGTTGTCTACCTCTGGATGCCCTTCTCGTGGGTATGTACAAGGATACCTGCCCTTTCCTAGGTTTTTTCGAAGGAGCCAAGTGGAAGGAAATTTTCAATTCCACTACAGGAGAGAGTTCTTGGTGCAAAACCCAGTCTGCTGAAGGTCTGTTGTTGCCTTTTGTGAAGGCATCAGAACGCATCATCCTCTGGTCCATCTGCTGAAAAGATCAGTGGATGGAAATCAAAACAGTAGAGTGGTGGGTACCAGGAAAGGGAATGACAGGAAATCTCATCTGGATCCTCACAAACACTCTGGAAAGCTCATTCTATCTATTTAAAACCTTTTTTTTTTTGTTTCAAATTCTAATTCATGAGTTTTAGTGTTCTGGCTGGAGAGTTTATATGTGGCCATTCTAATTACCATCTTTTGGGTCTGATACAAAGGACCAGTCGGATAATGTAATTTACTCTGTTTAATTTTGTACTAGTTGTTCCGTCACTTTAAAAGGGCCTCCTGAGGCTGGGCGCGGTGGCTCACGCCTGTAATCCTAGCACTTTGGGAGGCCGAGGTGGGTGGATCACCTGAGGTCAGGAGTTCAAGACCAGCCTGGCCATCATGGTGAAACCCCATTTTAAATAAATAAATAAATAAATAAATAAATAAATAAATAAATAAATAAATAAAGGGCCTCCTGAAAAAGACATTTTTGTCTGGAGCTGCAGTGAGCACCGTGAACTGCTGCCACCAGCCTGGGTGTGTGTGTTGAAGGATACCCAGCGGCCCCCTCTCCTGGCATCCTCCCTGCCCCCTCACTTTCTGGAGCCTGGTTTTTACTGCAGATTTTTGAAAGCTGACTTTTGTTTGCTTAGGTCTCTAGTGAGAGCTGCAGTGTAACAAAAGCATTTTAATACTCGAAGTGGTGCGTACATCACCAGTGACCTAACAACCATGGCTAGTCCCTTTTCTCCCCGAACTGGCCTGTCCTAAAACCTGGAGACTTCCTGTTCCCCCATTCTGTGCCTCACTAGGGCAGATGACAAATGTGTCCTCTGTCTGCCTTTTCACCCTAGCCTCCTAACTCATCTGCTTGCTGCTCTCTGCTCACATGTAGCTCTAGGAGAGCTGTCCTGAAACTCAGCTCTCGGCGTGTCACTCTTCTCCTCAAAAGCCTGCAGTGGCTCATTGTGCCTGAGGAACAAGAAGAAATGCCATGTAGACCAGCATCGTCCAATAGGAAGTTCTAGATGATGTTCTATGTCTGTGCTCTCCAGTATGGCAGGTACCAGCCACATAGGGCTACTAAGCACTTGAAATGTGGCTAGTCTGACCGAGGAACTACATTTTAAGTTCCATTTACTTTTTTTTCTTTTTTGATATGGAATTTTGCTCTTGTTGCCCAGGCTGGAGTGAAATGGCGTGATCTCAGCTCACTGCAACCGTCACCTCCCATGTTCAAGCAATTCTCCTGCCTTAGCCTCCTGAGTAGCTGGGATTACAGGCATGAGCCACCATGCTTGGCTGATTTTGTATTTTTAGTAGAGATGGGATTTCTCTATGTTGGTCAGGCTGGTCTTGAACTCCCAACCTCAGGTGATCTGCCCGCCTCAGCCTCCCAAAGTGCTGGGATTATAGGCATGAGCCACATTGTCTGGTCCAAATTCCATTTACATTTAACTCACATAAATTTAAATAGCCACCTGTGATAAGAGGCTACCCTATTGGAAAGCACAGATACAGACCCTTCTTTCTCTCACTTTCTAGCCCATCTCCTGCAACACTTTCCCATACATCACATACTGTGAATTTCCATTCCAAACCTTTCCTTGGATTGTACCCTTCATATAGAATGACCTTCCCTCCCTCAACCTCTTCCTTTTCTGTCCATACCTAGTTGGCAAAGCCCAACTTAAATGGCAGCTCTGCCATGAAGTTGCCCTGATCACCCCAATTAAAAATGATCTTTCCTAAATTCCTGTAACAGTTTGCCTTTGTGTTCTGGTTATCTATTACTTAATAACAAATCTCTGTAAACCTTAGTTTTTGTCTTAAAACAACAGCACACAATTTGTCATATCTCATGGCTTCAATGGGTCAGGAATTTGGGGAGCGCTGAGCTGAGTGGTTGTGATTTGGGGTCCCTTGTAAAGGTGGTGACTGGGACTGAACTAGAGAATTGGAACTGCTGGGGACTGACTGGACATCTTTCTCTCTTTTCGTGTATTCTCAGAACCTCTCCATGTAGCTTCTAGGTGAGTGATAGTTGTGGCTTCCTGAAAGCATGGTGGCCTCAAGGCTTCAGCATAAGTTTTCTAGTGAGTAAGGTATTCATCAAAGTTGCATTAATTTTTCTGGCCTAGCCTTAGAAATTCTGCAGCATCGATTCTCTCTCATTCTGTTGTCTACAAGTAAGTAACTCACCCACCCAGATTCAAAGGAAGGGGAATTATATTCTGCTTCTTGGTGGATGCATGGTAAGGTTCAAGAGTGATTTGTAGGATGGAGAGGTACTGTAGCAGTCATGTTTGGAAAATAAATTTGCTACTATGGCGATCAGTAAACTCTACCCAGGATTGATATAGTCTATGTATGCCTTCAATTCTGAATTTGTTTATTTTTTATTTTTATATGCCTATGT